TCTCACATCTCGCCCCACCCCTCGCCGGCTCCTCCCACCTCCATTCCAGGGACGCTTTTCATTGGCGGGTTGGAGCTCCTCTCTTCTTTCCCTCCCCCCCCCACCCCGTTATCTTCCCCGCCCTTCCGTCACTTCCTGACGCGCGGGTTGGGAGGGGGCAGGAGGGAAGGGGGCGGGGGGAGGGAGGGAGGGAAGGGGGGAAAGGGGGCCGGCCCTCGCTGACAGACCGGGGTCGGGCGGGAGAGGCGAAGCGGGCGGGAGGCTGCATGATGGCGGGTGCCCGTCGTCCGCTCCGAGTTTCCTTGTGGCGGCGGCCGCTGCAGTCTCCGCTAGCGGACGGGCTTCCGCGTCGCTGCTGAAAGGGAAAGAGAGCTCGGCCTCCGCGCGGATGGGGAGCGGCGGTTGCGAAAGAGGGCGGCGGCCTCCTCCTCCTCAGCAACAGCAGCAGCAGCAGCGCCGGTCTCTCTGACGGGGCGCCTTTCTTCTCGGGAGGGAAAGAAAACTCGCAGGCTGGGAGCCGCCAACCCGCCCGCCCGCCGGACGAGGGGATGTTGCGCTGGATCCGGCAGCAGCTGGTAGGTGGAGCGGGGGGCGCTGAGGCGGCCTTCCAGGAGCCGAGAAGGGGCCCGCTGGTGGAGGGGGCGGCTGGGTGGGAAGGTCGCTCTTCTTCAACTTTCCTCGGAGGCCTCAGTCCTCTGAGGGAAGCCCCCACGAGGGTTCCCCACGGGGCAGCTTTGGACTCCCGCGCTTTTGTCCTCAGCAGCTGCTCGGCCCCGCAAGTGTCAGAAACACGCCCCGAAGACGAGTGGAGAGGCCCCGCAGCGGACTTCGCTCCTCTCTTTTTTTTCAATAATAATACATAAATAAATAAATGTAATAATAATGATAATATAATAATAATATAAAAATAAACATTTTTGGAATGTTCGGTTGACTGAGTTTCATGAGTTTCTAGCTGTGTAAAAATCCTGAACTGTGTCTTTTTATTATTATATACTTTATTCATGAAACATGAAACTCAAGTCAACTGAACATTCAAAAATGCATCACAAATACCATCGTGCTTAATGGTTGCTGTCGAGGTCCTAGGTACCAACCAAGTACCTTCTTAAAATATACAATGTTCCATTTATTATTTATAATTATTTATTTATTAGTATTATTATTTAATTTATTTCATCCCAACCCACGTGGTCTGGGCTAAGCAAAGAAGAGCTGCCTTGGCTCCCCCAACCCACCCACCCCCCAAAAAAGCCCCTTGTGGCAGGAGGTTTTGGATTCAGGGCTCTTTTGACTGGGATTTTTGCAATTTCCTCTTTGGGTTGTAGCTGCCCTGTGTAAAAAGATAGTCCTCAACTTACAAAAGTTTGTTTAGTGACCATTTGAAGTTGCAACGGCACTGGGTGTGCGTGTGACTTTTATCACCGGTTTTCAACCCTGATGATCATGGCGTCGTATCCAGGATGTCCATTTATTTATCTTATTTATTTGGTTTGTCAAACATGTACGAGATAACAGGTATAAGTATAAACGTGATTATGAACACAGGAAATGAGTACAAATAAATGGGGACAGTAGGACAGGGACGGTAGGCACGCTGGTGGGCTTATGTACGCAATAAGCAATATTCAGATGCTTGGCAACCAATTCATAGTTATGATGGTTGCAGTCAGTGTCCCGGGGTTGTGTGATCCCCTCCTGATGAGCAAAGTCAATGGGGAGATTCCAGATTCACTTAACGACTGTGTGTAACTAATTAACAATCGCTGTGATTCACTTGACAGCTGTTGCAAGAAAGGTGGTAAAATGAGGAAAACTCGCTTAATAAAAACTGTCTTGGCAACAGAAATGTTGGGTTCAATTGTGGTTGTAAATCGAGGACTACCTGTAATTTTAAATCCAAACCACTTTTTTTTTTGGTACTGTTTTAGAGGTGGCAGGTGAGTGAAAGAGGTTTGTGCTGATAATTACCAGAAAGTTATGTTGGGAGCAGCTGGGTTTCTGGGAGGAGAAGGAAGTTGCCAAGCTGTGGCCAGCTGAGACCTTTGCTTGTTCAAGGTGTTTTTCCAAAGTGCGGTGGATTTGCAGTGCCATTATCTCAGAATGGGTGCTCTTCGTTTTTCCACTTCTTTCATTGAGGTTAGCACAACATCTATGATTTCTGGGCTTTGTTGTGGTTCTCCCCCCCCCCCCAAAAAAAATGTTAGCATTAAAATTAAGATCTGTTCTAACCCTCTGCCTGTAATAATTAACAATGTTGATTTACTTTAAAATCCTGAATGGTGTCGTTTCAAGGCATAGTAGAGCTACGATTTGTTATGAAGCAGCACATCTCTTTCGGAATGAAGGTGGGTGGATCTGCCGGGAAAAAATATAATCATTTCCTCTTGGCTGTTTCTTTCTGAAGAGGCAGAATGTTATTTGCTTTATCTTTGGCTTTAACTCCCAGCTCCATCTCACTTCCTAACACTTAGAAAACATTTAGACAAATAAGATGTGGTTCAAAATTCAACCACATCCTTCCTGCATTTCAGAACAAATGTTAATAAAACGATTTGGGGCAAGGTTTTTTTTTTCCAGATATTCGTACATGCAAGTGACAGTTTTATAACACAAAATACAGTAAATGAGAGCATAAATCTGGACCCTCCCTTAAGTAAAAGTAGATATTCCTTGATATTAATTGTATCCCCCCCCCCAAGACTATCTTGTGTCTGTGAACTAAAAATTATTTGCCAGCTAATGGGGGAAAATATTAAAATTCCCTCCAGCATTCAAAAGAAGCAGTAGTGATAACAAATTGATCAATTTAAATTGTTAATATAGTAAATATGAAATATAACCAATATAAACCAAAGCTCTTGGGAAGTGGGTGGTCATCCTCTGCATTTTTTTAAAAAGTGGGAAAGGGTCCTGAGAGAAGAAAGTTTAACAAATGCTCATTTAGATCATCCATAAAATGAGCAATACAATTTAATAATGCATCAGGTATAAACAACTACAACAAAACAAACAAAAATGCTTCAAATAACTGGAGATCTATCTAATCAGTTTTAATAGCTTGTTCATTGTCACCTGATTATATTTACAACAGTGTAGTATGTGGTTTGGCTTTCATAGCAGGATTGAACCTCCTTATATAACCTGCTCAGAAAAGGTTCATTAAAGATAAATGAAAAAAAATAATACACCTCTAAATGGCATTTAGTGATTCAACATCCCCTGGAATATTATTAGCAATAATTCAAGAGTCATTTTCACAAATTGGCTCTAGAGCAGTGGTTCTCAACCTGTGGGTCGGGACCCTAAGACCATTGGAAAACACATTTTTGAAAAAATATGGAAAACATAAAATAATTTTATGGTTGGGGGTCACCACAACACGAGGAACTGTATTAAAATGGTCGTGGCATTAGGAAGGTTGAGACTCACTGCTCTAGAATATTTCGTTTGAAATGCAGCTAGCATTAATTTTTCTTGACAGCATATGTTGCTTTGATATTGAAGCAAACTGGTTTTGGTATATATAATACAGTTTCTCATACCTAGGGGGCAAAGGCTTTCTTTCCCCGTGGGGCTTGGTAATTTACTTCGTACATTGTAGGAGACAGCCTTAGATTAAATTGTTTTCACTGTTTGATTAGAGCTGAATAATGGTTGTGACTATTTGTATTTCGTCTTCCATATATGCTAATTACATTTGCTGATAGGATTTAACACTTGATAGCTCCCTAATACAATAATCCGAAAGTTTTCCAGAAGGGTCAGACAAAAATGACAACATAGGAAATGTGCTGGGTATACAGCTTCCTCAGTCTGATGCTCTCCAGATTGGTAGAGATCCTGAATTTGCAGTTAGCTGAATGGTCTGAACATTTATAGTCCCATCATTTTTAAAGAGGCTGAGGAAGACAATTTAGTCTAATCTTAGGTGTTTGCTATATCGCTGCATTATTCACTTGGTTTTTGTTTTGTTTTTCTCATTAGTTGTGATCACAACAATAATTCATGAGATGATGTAATTTTTATCAAATGCATTTTTTACTCTGGTGGTCCACGAGAAAATTTTGATGGTCCGCAGAAAAATTATTTGCATTTTTTATATTGCACTAAATCAGGGGTCCTCAAACTACGGCCACTGGGCTGAATATGTGCAGTAGTTGCTTGTGTTGCAGCAGAGAGTCTTCCCCTTCTGGGTCTTTTTGTGTGGGTCAGAGATGGGCAGAAATTCCAACTTGGGGTCTGCTTCAGCCTCCAAGTGCGGGGCTTTGGGCGAAGGCTGGAGGGAAGTGCCACTGGTGGCGAAGAGCCGGAGGGTGTCGTTCCAGTGGGATTGCATTATGGCCTGGAACTGGCTGACCATCTCAACCCACTGAGTCTCCAGGCGCTGGCAACTAGCCTTGCACTCCTGCAGGTCTTTTCTCTGCTTGGAAAGCCTATGCTCATAGTCCTCAGTGAGGTCCTTCTGCTGAGCGTCCTTCTCTGTCAGATCCAATTTGAACTGAGCCAGCTGTTTTGCCAACTCTTTCTCATGGTGGCTGCTTCCTAAGGAGCCCGGGCAGGCGAGGAGTGGCAAGTAGAGCCAGGAGAGGCACCCCTCAATGTGACTGATATCGAGTTGGCCATGCCTGCCCATCACATGACCACCTTGCCACGCCCACCCTGTCATTAGGAAGATCATATTAGTGTCTGCGGAATTTAAAATTAGGAATTTAGTGGTCCCTGAGGTTAGAAAGGTTGGTGACCCCTGAGCAAGACAGCATTTTCTGGCAGCGCAACCTCTCCAGATAAAGGAGAGATGGTGAGAACATCCATTTGTACTCCAGATAGTTGCTCCTTCTGAGGTCAACTGTAGGAACTGAGGTTTTTGAGGTTGCCTCATGAAAGAAACAGTTGAGAGTCTAGGGTCTTGATGGCGAACCTATGGCACACATGCCACAGATGGCACATGGAGCCATTTGTTGGGGCATGGGAGGTGTTGCCTTCTTTTGAGGCCATTTTTTTGTCCTCCAGAGGTTTCCTTGAAGCCTCCGGAGCGTGAAAAACTGGCCCTAAGGCAAACTGGAAGTTCGGGAATGTACTTCTGGTTTGCTCATAGGGTCGGTTTTAGCCCTCCAGAGTGTTCAGGGGTCTTCCAGAGGCTTCCCTGAATGCTGTGGAGGGTAAAAAATGACCCTACACTCCACTTTGCTTGTAGGGCCATTTTGTGCCCCCCGGAGCCTTCAGGGAAGCCTCCGGAAGGCCCTTGAAAGCTCTGGAGGATGAAAAATGGGTCTACAGACCAACCGTCACTTCCTGTTTGCTTGTAGGGTCATTTTTTGCCCTCCACAGCCTTCAGGGAAGTCCCCTGAGGCTCCATAGGGCTAAAACCGGCCCTATGAGCAAACCAGAAGTCAGTACCTGAACTTCTGGTTTGCCCAAAGGGCTGGTTTTTCGCGCTCCGGGGGCTTTATGGAAGCTCCTGAAGCCTCTGTGGAGGTGGGAGGGGTGCTTTTGCCCTCCCCAGGGTCCTATAAAGCCTCTGGAGCCTAGGGAGGTCAAAAAAGCATGCCAAAGATGGGGGGAGCACTAGACG